AAAGGTTGGAGTAGCTCCAGTAGAAGATAAGATTAGAGAGAATCACCTTAAATGGTTTGGTCACATAAAATGGCGGCCTCCCGATGACCGGTTATGAGAGTAGAGGTATTAGATTTGACTTATGTTAAGAAAGGTAGAGGCAGACCTAAAAAGATTTGGTTAGAAAATATTAGGAATGACATTTTTTTATTAGATTTAAACGAGAATTTGACTTTTAATAGGACACAATGGAGAAAAAAGATTTATGTAGCCGACCCCACGTAGTGGGATAAAGGCTTGATGTTGTTGTTGAAACATAGAGCTTTGCGCTGCAGCGCTCCAATCCCATCGTCGAAGTGTTCCCAAAAAAATTTTGCATTTATAAAATTTCTGCTAAAATTGAATTCATAAACATTTTAGTAAACCTTTAATTCGTATAATGTTCACTTTAGGTCATTGTAGATAGATAGGATGTCGTAGGAACATGCATTTCAAGATGGACCGACTGTCATTTTAGGAAGATGAAGATGCCGATTTCGCTCCATAAACGAAGACGAAGGCGTATGTGTCACCAAGGGTTGGTGTTGGTTCCATTACATGGTGTCAAAGGGAAGGGTTGTTTCTACCAATTCCGTCGAGGCTTGTATTGACTCCGTCACTTGGAGTCGTGAAGCGGACGAATGATTTCATCTTCTTATAATCACGCGAGAGAGGTAGACGGAGAGAGAGAGAGAGAGAGAGAGAGAGAGAGAGAGAGAGAGAGAGAGAGAGAGAGAGAGAGAGAGAGAGAATAGTGAGTCACATGTGTGAGGCCAGTGATTACTAGGTTTGGGTAAAGCATGAGTTGTGCAGTTGAGCGGACTTTAGCGAGCGATCAAGAGAGGGAGATAATAATGTGAGTGATCAAGAGAGGGAGAAAGTAGCGGCGAAGGAGCCTAGGTAAAGATTTTTAGCAATTTATTACTTTAATTTTGTATTTTAATATATTAAATCTCAAATATTATTTAGAAATTTGGGAAGGTTATAGTATAATTTGGAAAATATTTTTAAGGATGAGATTTAAAAAATTATTAAATTTTATTTCATTTAGATAAAAAGAGTTAATATGTTTAATATTAAGTATAAATTATGTTTATTTTATAAGACTAAGAATTCTTTTAAATGTTGATTTTATAAATATTAATTGATAAATTTTTAATGAGAAAAATATAAATAAATATTAAAAGTTGAGTTATTTTTATAAATTTAAAATCTCATAATAAATAAAATTATTTTAGAAAATAAATCTAATTCAATATGATTTTTCATCCATTTTAAAATAATTATATATATAGAGAGAGATATAAAATTTTATATAAAATCGTAGGCTTTTTTTATATAAATTAATTCTTAAGGAAATAATTAAAAAATAAATATTTAAAAAATAGTTTTAAAATTAATGAGGATTTTATAAAATAGAAAATGAGAGTTAGTTACGTTCAATAGGTTAATATTGTGTAAATATATCTATTGATTTTTAATTAAGTTATCTTATACTTGTGATTATAGTTATCAAACTAGCCGTTTGAAAGTAAGGTGAGCACTCATGTTTTTATTTTATATGATGATGTTAATTTTTTTTTTTTTTAAATATGATGCATAATTTATTATGCATATTTACCCATAAATTATTATTACATATTATTCATGATTTATCTCAATTACAGATTATTGTTCATGTTGAATTGGAAGACATGAACTTTCTATTATATTACAGTTATAATGCTTATGATATAATGATATGAAATGATATGATAAAATATAAATAAAATGATTTATATAGAATACTTGTATGTGCCTGTTGACTGAGAGTAAACCTTTTTATGATGTTGGTTGGGAACACAATGTACCTGGAACGCAAAATGAAAAATATTTTACAAAAGGAAATAAAAATAAAAAGGGAATTATTTTTATTGATATTATTTTGATAGTATCTCTTGTGATGATTATATTATTTATAAAAAATGATAAAAAAATAATGTGTTATGTATGGATATGCATAAATAAAATTTTAAATAGAATTACTTTATGTTTTATAACAAGCATGCATATTGTTTGAAATACTATGATGTTATTGTAATTTAGAGTATAACGTGTTCATTGAGTTGTGTTATGACTCATCATACTATTGATAAATATATGTATAATCCAAAAAATTTAAATGAGTGGAAGAGGGGACAATGCACACTATAGGCATGATGCTCTGAGAGAAATGTATTCATTTGAAATAATTATATTATTTTACTTAGAAAATATCTTAGGTTCTAGTGACTTTTTCAGTATATCAAAAATAGTTTATTGTTAAAAATTTTAGCAAGAAATTTTAAATTCCTATAAAATTGGTATCAGACCAGATTTTGGGACCGTATGTGGGCTGTTTTCGGGAAATTCAGCGGCTATTTTTTGCTAAGGGGTTTTTTGCTATTTTTTGGGTTAATATCTAGGTTTTTTGAACCTACAAAAATTTGGGTTTTGATGGCGGCCAAGAAGGTAGATGCGTTGGAGGAACACTTTGAAGGGGAGATGAGCCAAATGAAAGCAATGGTGGAAGATTGAATTTCTTCCGTGGAAGAAAAAGTTTTCGATCTTCATGAGATGGTGAAGAAGATATTAGAGAATCAAATTCAAATGGCGTCAGCTGATACAAAGGGTTGGACGGGAAGAAAGGTAGAAGTATTGGAAAGGGAGATCGAACAAACGACATCTGAAATTTCAGATTTCCAAACTCAAGTTTTAGATTTAAAGAAAAATATTTCAGTCACCCATGATAAGTTCGATTCAAAATTTTCCATCATGGAGGAGATGTTAAAGAAAGTGCTTGAGGGCCAAACCAAAAAAATTGCCGTCGGAGGTGAGGGAAGTCACCGACAGCCAGGGAAGTGGGGAAAACCCTAAACCAATCAGACTAAGGGAAGCTCAGGAGATGGAGATTTTGGAAGGTTCAGGAAAAATGCCTTCCTTAGGGCTTATTCATTGGGAGGAGTCGGGTAGAGGGTATGTGGGGAGGCGTGAGGGGCTTGGACATGCGTGGAAGGGTGCTGAATTTGAAAGGGAAAGAAAGAATTTTGACTAAAGGAGGGCTGAATTGGAAAGAGGAGTTTGTGATGATCCAAGGGGTGCTGAATTTGAAAGTAGGAGGTGAGAATTTGATGAAAGGCTTTGGTATGAATGTAGAAGGGATGATTGAGACACTTGGGGGGAACCACGCCCTTGGGGAATGGGAAATTATGGAGAGAATAGAGGGAACGGAGGCGATCTGAGGGCTAGGAAATTGAAGATGTCAATCTTTGAGGGGGATGATGCGCATGGGTGGATCTACAAGGTTGAAAGATATTTCGCCGTCAATGGGTCGACGGAGGAGGAGAGATTGACGACAGCAGGCCTATATTTGGAAGGGAAGGATTTGGCTTGGTACCAATGGAGGGACATGCGATGACCCATATAGAGTTATAGGGAGTTTTAGGATTGTTTGATAGAACGTTTCTGAACTGGCATGGGAGGAGACTTCTACGAGTAGTTCTTCGCCTTGACACAGGATGGTTCAGTGATAGAGTATCGGGAGAGGTTCGAGTACCTTGCTAGCCGATTGGATCGCCTTTCTAAGACAGTGCTAAGAGGGGAACTTCATGAAGGGATTAACACTAGAGATCCGGGCAATAGTTAGAGTAATGAGGTCTCGTGACTTGGGAGAGGATATGGAGCTAGCTCAATTGGTAGAGGATCAAAGGCACTTGGAGAGAGAGACAGGAAATAGCAACTCAGGAGGCCTGTACAGGATGACCACCACCTTATTGAAATCCAAGGAGCCAATACCGAATACTCTTCGGGGGACTTCGAAAGAAAAGACTGCTGGAGGACGACCTGGGGACAACTTCAAGAAGCTCATAAAGACGAAATTATTGGAGAAAAGGGTGAAGGGGCTCTATTTTAGATGTGACAAGAGGTATAAGCCTGGACACAGGTGTAAGGATCGAATTCTTCAGGTTCTTATCGTTTGTGATGAAGAAGGAATGGAGGAGGGTGTCATTTTTCCACATTGCGGACAAGGTGAATATTTGGGAGGGAATTATTGGTAGACCGGTCCAGCCGGCTCGACGGGACCGGCTTACTCGAACAAAGGCGGAAATGTCCGCCTCCTGTACTCGTCGAACGCATGCCCGAGCATGCGTGAGCTGCTTAGGAAGGATTTTTGAGGGAGTTAGGAGTGAAATTTGAGTGTAGGGACTGTTTAGGGATTTCCTTTTGATTTGTATGCATTAAATAGTTTGTTTTCCTAGGGTTAGGGCATATTGAATTTGGCTGAAATTTGAGATTTCTTAGTTTATTTGGGCCTAGTGGCATCTAGAGATTTGGGAGAGAGATTTGAGAGGAACAATTGTATCTTGGTATTTTCTGTTTCCCTTTCATCAAATAATACAAATTATCTATTGTTTCGTGGGTTTGTGTTGATTTTTGTGGAGAATTCTTGTTGTTTTCCGAAGATTGATAGGAAATACTTGAGATGTACAAATGTTTCTTATCAGACTCCTACTTACGATCACGAGAGACATCTCTCATGATTTCGATTTCTTATATTGTATTAACTTCTTTTCCAATTATGGAGGTGGGGACCGTTTGTAATTCTTGAATCATATTAGTGGAATTGTTTCAATTGAGTAAGTTCTCCTGATTTTGGTTTACCAGGTAAACAATCTTGTTTCTTCTGTGTGCTGGATCTTCTTACAAAGTTAAAAATTAAATTATCTCTATGTATGCAAGATTTCCAGCATGCAGCAGACTTTGTATATTTTGTACATGATATGTGGTGGTAAAAGTTCATCCTTATTACTGGAAGTTTAGAAGATACCAATTTGTGTTCTGTATGGTTATAAGGAGAAGCTAACAAAGTATTCATGGAGTAGCATTTGGTGCCATTCTTTCAACTAGTGAGTTTCCTTTTTTGTTATTAACTAATATCTTATATTACAACACGATATTTGCAGGAATTACATCAACTATATCTAAAATGAAATCATTTTCCGAGTCAGCAACACTCACCTCCAGCATTATACCACATGTTGGATTTGCCAAAACATTCAGTATAGCTGAGATAGAAAAGGCTACAAACAAATTTGATGCTTCAAGAATCATTGGTGAAGGTGGTTTTGGGCGTGTCTATGAAGGCATTCTCTTAGATGGAACACCAGTTGCTGTGAAGGTTCTGAAAAGATATGATCAGCATGGCAATCGTGAATTCCTTGCAGAGGTTGAGATGCTTTGTCGCTTGCACCATAGAAATTTGGTTAAGTTGGTTGGCATATGCACAGAGGACTATATCCGGTGTCTAGTATATGAACTGGTTCCGAATGGAAGTGTGGAATTTCATTTGCATGGTAAGTCGATGTTATTCACATTATCATATTTTTCTTTTCAGATTGTTTGCCTATTAATCAAACATTTGTTAATATCAGTTGGTTTACGTTTTTATTGAGGGGAACTTGTAGTGAACATCTAGCAAAAGATATCTGGCATCAAATGTTGTTGTGCTTGATTAAAAGCTCCGGGTCTTGTTTTGCAATTATTAACAGCCTTTAGTTTGACAGCTGTAATACCAAAACCGATCTTGGTGGTGTCACACCCCGTCATCAGGCTTGGGAAAAATTACAGGAACCCAAATGGAGGGTGTGAGCTGAAAAAAAATTCAAATCAATTTCAAATCAGTGGAAATATATGATTTCAAATCAATGGAAATATATGATTTCCATCAATAAAATCATCAGAGAATCTAAACCCAAATGTATTCTAAATATCCCCAAAAATATAAATGAATTCCATCTATACTATTAAATCAATTAAATAACTCTAACCTTAAATACCTTTCGAAGACAAACTTGAAGTATGAACCTAAAAACTTCTCTAGAAGCTTCATGGCTATTAACCTGAAATCATGAAGTAATAAGTGTGAGTTTGCTAGAAATAAACTCTGCAGGTTAACCCCACTGATAAAATTTAAACGGTAAGACATTGGCATAAATATGAGCAAAGAAAAGGTTACGAGTGAAAAATAAATAAAGTGAACCATAATAGTTGCAAGCGGTATAAAATATGAGATTTTTGAATGTATAAATCATTTAATAAAGTTTTTATGTAGCAAAGTTAATAAAAATCATTCATGCCAATTAATAATCATTGCATTAAAATTCGAAAATATTTACTTACAAACATGCGGTATTTATACATTCACCAATGACGTCGTAGTCATTTATTATTTTTCTCTTTATATCAATGCATATTCATTTATAATTGTTTACTATAATACTATGCCAAAAAAGGTAGAAACCAATCTCAAGAAAATCTAATGATTTCTTATAAAGTCGTCACTCTATAGACCCGTCAGTCAGGTTAGCAATATCTAAAAGGTTCAAATGTCAACCTTACATGCATTACACGCACAAGCGTATATTATGTATTTTGTACCGCATTAATAGCTCTTAATAAATGTTGTAACACAACTAAACCCAATTATATATATTACATAACTCATGATTTGTATGCAAAATAGTTATTCACAAAAATCAGAATAAAATATATTAACTATTTAAGAATTTGTGCTATAATTAACATGACAAAGTTAATTATCAGATCATTTCAAAATGATCAATTGAAATGCTTTGAATGAATAAGCACGTTTTACTATATATTATCAATAATTATAACATACAATAAGTAGCAAGGTATGTGCCCTTGACAAGGGAGAATACATTTATCCCTTCCTTAGTAAAGAGTCATATACCAAATATGAATCATAAGCAGCCAAATATTCTGATCATGATGCTGGTCCTCTCATGCCAACACATGGTACACCACAAATCCTAAATGCACAAAAATCCATATGTATATATATATATATATATATTCAATACATCACACATTAAAATATTAAGCAATAACAACAATCAATTAAAAGTATATTTTTAAAGAAATTAATTATTCTATCATGCACCCTAATTTATTCGTCATAATTAATCTCAAATATTAATGCTTTATTTAATATCTTTCATATAAATATCTTTCTCTACGACTTAATGAAGTATTTGATAGCTTCTTAAGAATCAATTCTCACAAATATTTTTTTTTAAATATTAACTCTAAAATATATATACATATTTATGCAACAATATATAAAATAGCTTCTCCTAAGCAATGAAAATTTAATTCCCCTAATATAAACTATTACTAATCATAACTGTAGAATATATATATATAAACTCTTCTAGGTTATGGATTTGAATGTTATACTCAATAACTTAATATTAAATTTATATGATTAAATGAATATAACTGGGTTAAGTAAGAATTTAACTTTTAATAGGGCACAATGTAGAAAAATTATTCATGTAGCTGATCCCACATAGTGGGTTAATTGATTGATGTTGTTGTTGATTAAACGAATTTAACAACAAAAATGATATGAGTCAGCCCAAATATCTTTATTTAATCTTTTAACCAAATCTCATATCATAAAATTTAATTTGTGCATAATTTCCTCTCTAGTGCCCATCAAGAATTGCACTTGTTTGTAGAACAACTAGCATATAGACACCTAAAAGCAACTATAAACTCATAGTATAAGTTTAGTGTTAGGGTTTGTTGAAAATAAATGGATGAGGAAGATGATGGTGAAAGAAGAACTAAAATGAGGGGAAGAAAGAGTCAAAACTTTTATACATTATTGTCTCCATTAACTTCTTTATTGACCTTGCAAAAGCCATCTAATTTATCTATTTGGCCAAACCATCGAAATGTGAAGTAGTTGACCACGACCGCTCACGTTGCTTGCCATTGGAGGCCAACGTCGATCACCCCCCCCCACAATTGATTTCCCGCTCGTATGCTCAATCGCTGCCTCTCCTCGCGTGATCACTCTTGCAACTTGTCTTTCTCTTTCTTGCACTTGATCCCCTGGATTTCAAGTGTGAGCAGCGTGGGGAGGTGATGATGGGATCTGATTAGGAATATATGGGTTTAACCGGTCAAGTCCAAACAAAATAAAACATGGTTATTATATTTTTCCCACCCTAAGAGAATGTCGTCCTCGAAATTTAGATCATTTCACTATATTATTCTTAAAAACATTTAGACATAAATTTAAATGTAACACAAAGATCATTTGAGTTCAAGAATCTATGAACAACGAATCATCAAAAAGAGCAATTAAAATGACGTATATAATCTAAGACACTTTGGTTTCAAATTCCAAATATCATATCAAAAGTACATTACATGACGAGAATCATCACAATTAGCGAAAATTTAGTGAGGCTTAAAGAAAAGTCCCGCTTAGCACAATCATTCATTCATGCACCAACCCATAGAAAAGTAGGATTTTACATGATCCTCACATACTTAAACAAACAACACATGAGAAAAAAAATATTTTATTCAACGAGTAATCATAAATTCCAAGATCACAGGATGATAAATACATCACGTAGCCTACAAATCTTAAATTTAAAATCAATCAATACAACCGTGTCTCTTCTTACACCCTACGCAAACATAACATTGCAATATAACAAACTCAATGTTACACTTTGATCATTATAGCTACATATGATAAAGAAAGCTTATCAAACAAACTCCACTTCCATTAACAATCATAACAGTCATTGTAGACTAGTAGTTAGCCAAACCTAATCATTCAAACAAAGAGAGCTAAAATATAATAATTTATGCACATGCTTACCCATACCTGTTAACGGCGAATGGCGCACCATGGCGCAAAGGTCCATTTGGAGCCATGGCGTATACGCACGGTGTGGTGCGCGCTATTTTGAACATGGCGCAAGCTATATAATAATTATAAAATAATAAACATGAATATGAAATATTATTAAAAATGAAAGACAAGCTATCATAATAATAAAAGACAACCATGAAATATATAAGTTCGACTAAGTAACATTCAAATATATCATAATTCAAATATTACAATCTTTTTTTAAAAGATCAAATAAGAATTTAATCTACTCTTCTTGTGAATCATCATCATCAGCAAATGTTAAAAAAGCTTCATTATCTTCTTCAACATTGTCTCCTACTTCATAATCCTCGTCATCACCCTCCTCATCATCATTCTCAATAGCAACATCATGCCTAATTGAAGATTATTTCTCTTTCCCTTTAGATCTTTCCCGAATATTATAGCTTTTATCATAAACACCAGTAGCTTTAGCAACACTTGTCCAAGTTAAATCTTCATCTCCAGCAATAAAGTCATTTTCTTCATCAGACTCATCATCTAATTTTCCTGTTAGCCATTCATTTGTATCATCTATCTCAGTCAAAGAAATAGGATCAATGAAATCACGATGATTGAATCTCCGAATCAGTGCTCTATTATATTTCACATAAACTAAATCCTTTAAGCGACCATGATCCAATTTGCTTCTTCGTTTGCTATGAAGCTGCAATTAAAATATTATTACATTACTATATTATGAACATATATAAAAAAATCAACACATACATTGTAAAATACTTACATGTTCAAAAATACTCCAATTGCATTCGCATCCAGATGAACTACATGTTAAACTTAGGACTTTGATAGCAAAGCTTTGTAAATTGGGAGCTCCTTGTCCATATGCCAACCACCAATCAGCTGGTAAGAAATGATTTTTTTTTTCAATATTTATATAACAAAATCAGTCTTAATTTTTTTGTAAATAATGATACCTGGAGATCGGGTAGTTCTTGTCTTTACAGCTGAAGAATAACAAAAAATCCTTCCCCCTTTGTATTTAAACTTAAATCATTACTGATTTATTTTCTTTCAGCTACATCTTGAGATAATCTTCCGATACATTGTAAAGACCATCAGCTATTTCCTTATCCTGGCAATATCAGGTTATTGAAGAAATATTCAGGATTTAAAGAATGTCCCGCTGCATGTAGAGGCGCGATTGAATTGCACTTCCTATCTTCTATCAGTTCATTAAAAATTTGATCATACTTATCACTGTTATTGAAGCTTGCAGCAATTGCCTTTTTTGCTCTTTCAATTGCTTCATATATGTAAAGCCATTGGGGCTTCTTCTCTCCATCAACAAATCTAAGAACCTTTTAATAAATGACCAGTTATTTTAAAGCAACATACACTTATAGTATCCAAAAATGATTGCTGTAAGATTGTATGTTGAGATTGTTTTGCTTTAGCCTCTTTCGCATAAGGACCCAAGATAAATTCCTCACAAGTAAACATTTTCTTCAAGTTCAGTTGTTGTTGATGAAAACGTTGTAAAGTTAAGAAAGCTGTTGCAAAGCGAGTCTTTGCGGGTTTGACAAGTCCTCTTTGATTTGTGCACCTTCTCATTAACTCAAGTAAGCGAGG